CTCCCTCCATCCCCCGCGAAACCCCGCCGAGCAAACTCACCAGCCGCACCGACATGTCCGCCGCCATCACCATCCCGATCGACACCGCCTCCCCATGCAGCAGCGTGCCATACCCCGTCCCCGTCTCGATGGCGTGCCCAAACGTGTGCCCGAGGTTGAGCGTCGCGCGCACGCCGCCCTCCCGCTCATCGGCCGCGACGACCTCGGCCTTGTTGATGCACGACCGCTCAACAGCGTAGGCGATGGCCTCGGGGTCGCGGGCGAGGAGGCGCGGCATGTTGGCCTCGAGCCAGTCGAAGAGGGCCGCGTCGCGGATGAGGCCGTACTTCACGATCTCACTGATGCCGGACGCGAGCTCCCTGGCGGTTGGGGGTGGTTGAAGGTAGGTTGGGAGGTGGTTGGCAGTCGGTGGTTGGGGACTGGGTGTGGTCGGTGAAGATGGTTGAAGATGGTCGAGGTGTTGTCGCTCGGGGGGCAGAAGGGTCGGCGGGCGAGGGGGCTGGGAAAACGGCGACTGCCGCACGGGCGGCGGCTGCTTTGCTGTCAAGGGAGCACGCTAGGGTGGGCTGACCACAACCCAGGGTTGATGCAGCCGTCGCTTACAAACGAAGCGGTGTGGTGCGGCGACAGACCATTCAGCCTGCAGATGCACCTTGTGCTGGCTGCATCCTCCTTCCCTCTCACTGTGCAGTCAATAGCACCCAGCCATGCATCCTTTCGACCTGGCGAGGCCGCTGCCGCCCTCCCCCCGTCCCCCTTGTACCGCGCGGCCCTTGAGCCTCAGGCTCCCACCTGGCCGGCAGCGTGTCGAGGGTGTCAGTGTCGACCAGCACGCAGCGCGGCTGGTAGAACGCCCCGATCATGTTCTTGCCCAGAGGGTGGTTCACGCCCGTCTTCCCGCCCACGCTGCTGTCCACCTGGGCCATCACGGTCGTGGGCACCTGCAGGGAGGGGGAAGGGCATACGGGGACGGCAGGCGCAGTCGCCGCTGCAGCCCGCCGCGGGTGGCGGGCGCGGCGGGTTGCAGGAGCCGCAGGCCGCGGAAGGGATGCCCGGCAGCAGGCCGCAGGCCCGGCCCCGGCCCCGGCCCCAGCCCGGCTCGACGCGCAAGCTGCTGCAGCTGTTTTTGCATCCCCACAAGCGCGTTTCGCCCCGCAACATGGGAGCCGAGCGATCC